AGGTTAGTTGAGATGTCTGAGGCATCAGGGATGTAAACGGTCTCAAAGTTAAAGGCACAATTTTTCTCAGGACCATATTAGCAGTAAGTTTGAGCAGTTCAGCCAAAACAAATAATACACAGATTCAAAGTAGCAAAAATTTCAAACCGGAAATCACTTTCACTTCTTGCTGAAAAGTATCAATCCATCGCCATTTTAGTTTCACTTTTCCTCATTCCACCACACGTACGGGGAGAAACTTGTTATAGAAGTTAAAGTAAAGTCCAAAATAAAAAGCAAGCTTCCAAAGTTGGTTCGTCTGCTTACAAGTAAAACACACAATTAACTTCAAGTTGCAGCGGTGGTGGCGGCTTCTAGCTTCGCCGAAGCGAAGGCGTCCTGGATCGCGGAGAATCCTCGGGGCTCCGGAGGAGTTCTCGCCTACATCGTCCATATAGGACGACTCGGGAACTCAACTCCTACCCCGGGCAGCTCACCTATCTCCTTATGCCCAGGGGAAAGGTATCAAGCCGTTTGACAGCTGATGCTGGCTGTCAAACCGGCTTTTACGCAAAACAGGCGGGAGGCAGCAAACAGCTGCGACCGACGAAATCGCCTGCCACCGGAAGTCTCCCGCAGCCATTTTTTTTTTCTCCAAAAAATAACTTTCGATTTTCAATCCTTGAGAAGAATGCTTAAAAGTCTGAGTCAGAGTTTTAAGTTCTTTATAAAAGATCCAAACTTCCTAGTTAGCTCCGTCTGTGAAAAATACTCACAATTTAATTCAAAAAAAAAATCAGAAGTGGAGACGTCGTCTGGCTTCGCTTGCAGCGAAGACGTCCCGATGTGCGGAGAAGCTCTGAGCTCCGGAGGAGTTCTCACCTTCACCTCACTGGGAACACCCAGGGAGGCTAGGGAACTCGACTCCTACTCACGAGCAAGCTCTCCTTCTCTCCTTTGCCCGGAGAGAAGTTTCAAAGCGCCCAACAGCTGATAAACGCTGTTTTAGCGCTTTTTATGCAGTCCTGAATGGGAGGCTGTCAAAACAACCCCCTTTGGCAGCTGCCGAGCCACCGGAAGAAGTGAGTTCCTTCTTTTTCTTCAGCTTCCTTCTTCTAAAGCAGAAGACTAAGTGACCTTGAACAACATCTGCTGGGCTCACTGATAAGAAGTGAGACATTAATTGCATTTAACACAGAAACTGTTTCTTGTTTTGGAGAACGGTGGAGGTTTTATTTTCAATCTCCTCCTTTTTTTCAGATTAAAACATGAAGAGCCTGAAATAAAGAAGTGTAAATTGTACTTTTTCCTGCCCTTGGACTTTTGAGGTGGGATTTTTCTCCTATTTTTGTTTCTTTCCTTCTCTTCTTGGAACATATTGTGATTATAATAGCACACTGATATTTGGATTATAAATCATTGGATAAGATGAAGAAGATCACAACACACCTAACAACAGCCCCCTCAACACTACAGAGTCCGGTGGTGCAGAAAACACTGGGCTCTACAATACAACAAGATAAATTTAATATGGAACTGAAAAATATGATACAGGCATTATATACAGACTTCAAGGAAGGGTTAGGTAAATTAGAAGAGGAATTAAAAGAGGTCAAAGAATTGATGGGGAAAAGTGAACAAAGACTGCAACAAGTGGAAGGGAAAATTGAATTAATGGATAAGAGAGTAGAGGAGATGGACAATCGACTGACATTAACAGATAGGAACCAGCAAAAAACGATTATCTCTCTAGAGATGGATAGAGCTGATTATTACTTAAGATTCCAAAATGTCAAAGAAGAAAAGGGAGAGAATTTAGCAGACGTGATGGCGGAAATATTAGCAGAAGCACTGGAGGAAAGCAAGGAAAAGATAATTAATGATATAGATGAGATATTTAGAATACATACTAGATATGCAACGAGAAATAAGCTTCCTAGAGAGGTCCACATAAGGTTTACTAAAAAAGCATTAAGGGCAGATATATTACAGAAACTGAGAAATGTCACAATAAAATATAAAGGAAGAGAGATAGTGATATTAAAGCAGATTCCAAGAAGAGTGAGAGACTTTAGAAAGGAGTATCAATTTTTGACAAAAGTCTTAATTGAAAAAGGGATAAATTTTCGATGATTAATACCAGAAGGAATAATGGTAAACTGGCAAGAACAGAGACACAGACTAGACACATTAGAGAAAGCAGAGCTTTTTTATGATCACTACTTTGGACAGCAAGAAGAAGAAAGGCTGAGAGGGGAAAGAGGAACTAGACATCAAGGAGTTCAGATAGAGAAACAACGGGGTGAGTATAGCAAAGAACAGGAAGAAAGGGNCCTACATCGTCCATATAGGACGACTCGGGAACTCAACTCCTACCCCGGGCAGCTCACCTATCCCCTTATGCCCAGGGGAAAGGTATCAAGCCGTTTGACAGCTGATGCTGGCTGTCAAACCGGCTTTTACGCAAAACAGGCGGGAGGCAGCAAACAGCTGCGA